TAATTTTAAAAAAATTTTAAAAAAAAAATAATTTAATCGTAAAATTTTCAAAAACGGTTAAATTTAAAAGATGCTAAAGGATTTTTAATTGAGAAATTTATCTCTTGCATTATTATAGTATCTCATATAGTATCTCATCCTTGGTTATTAAAAATATTGTTCGGTGTTAATATCGTTTCTCAACTGTTTTAATTTTTACTTTTTCATCTCTACCGCGAATTCCTTGGATTCTTGAATGTCACAAAGATATACTTACAGGGAAGTATTTCCTCTTACATTTAACTTTCTATGAATTCTCAATTAAATTTAACACTGTGTAATATGGGAATTTCCCTCAAGATCGTTAGTGAGGATAAATTGTTGCAATAAAAGTCTTTGCTAATTAATCAAGAAATAATTAAGAAAGAATGCTAATAATTAAGAAAGAACTTACTCTTCCTAGACGTTATAATTATCAGAGAATGTTGCAGGTAGCATTGATCATTTATTTTTTCTACCTGTTCTTGTAGGAAAATTTAGTAAAATTTTGATTGAGATTATTGTTTGGTAAAAATTTCATAAAGTGAAATAGTAGTAAAATTAGATCAAATCGGAGCGTAATGTTGAACAAGTAACTAAACCTTTAGTGATTAATTCTCATGTTTATATGTGTGGTTTACAACGCTTTTTTTTTCATTTTTTTTTAAACAGATTTGAAAGAGTTTTACAATAAATAGGCTTTATTGCTTACAGTAATTGTTTACAGTAATCTTATCACGAGATATAAGTTTAGCTTTCACATTGGAAATTCATGTGACAAAAGATTCTATCATAACAAATAAAAATATCGCAATTAAACCAGAATGATCAATTAAATGGGGGAAAAAATGCAAACATTCCCAGAAAGTCTGATTAACAATTCAAAAGATGGATTGAAGAAATGATTTATCACTTCAAGATCAAAATATTCATACTATTTCGATCACCATTTATTATTATTATTATTATTATTATTATTATTATTATTACTATTATTATTATTATTATTATTATCATTATTATTACTATTATTATTATTATTATTATTATTATTATTATTATTATTATTATATTATTATTATTTATTATTATTATTATTATTATTATTATTATCATTATTA